GTGTTGTGACTCTTCAATTTCTAAGTTATTGATTAAGATGTTCGAAAGAGATGATTCAGAAAAAGTTGATGGCCTACGGTTAACGGAAAACAAACCTTCTATGCATTTTTTCGGATTTAAAGGAAGGTTAACATCATCGGACCATTCAGAAATGGAACTTATGGCTGACTGAAGAGAGTTCGTTGAAAGGTTATTGCTGTGAGATGCACCACCAACTGCTATGTCATCAGCATATTTTAATGTGAAAACATTTGCGGTGACTGGCAAATTTTGGATGTAAAAGGAGAACAGAAAAGGGGATAAAATTGCACCCTGCATTACGTCTTGGTTTACGGTAAGAGCGGAAGACCTAATACCATTGAGACCAGTGGATTAAGAATTTTGTGTTTTTGGTCTAGTGAATAAAACAGAGTGTGTGAGGCAAGCAACCACATCTAAAGTAGAGCGACGCTTACAATACGTACACTGATCGGAACCACGAAAATCAATATTAGAGGATAGGTGCTTAATAATAACTTGCTCAAAAGTCTTAAGTAATACTGAAGATGAAGCAATAGGCCGAAACTTGCCCTTTTCTTTCTTAGGTACTGGAGTGATGCGCACATCACGCCATGTCTTCCTTCTGACCGACATGTATTAAAGATGAATGAAACAGTTTGTGCGAGGTGGTTTGCGCATGTTTTAGGACCACTGGAGATAACCCATCAGGACCAGAGGATTTATTTATGTTGACAGCATTCAGTCCTTTGAAACTTGCTCTGTTGTGACAGTCACAGGAAGGTGGAAATCAGGTGACGTTTTCTTTGGACTCGGTAAAGCTACCACAACATTTTTCACTGAAGCAAAAGATTTGTTGAACTCATTGATGTCACATGAGACTGTAATAGCTAAAGTTGAACAATCACAGAACAACTTCAGTCCGTTTCACAGCTGACGGAAGGATTTGTCTCCTAGCACGGTGTCAACATACAATAGATTGAGATGAACTATCTCGCTTCTGATATGAAAGTTGACAGATATGACCGTCAGTATATCTCTTGACTTCATTCGATTACGTTGAAACATGATGTTTCCAGGGCAACCTAAAACTAGGATCGAATTAATTCAAACTGCATCATAATCAGTAATTAGTGATGCCCGAAGCGTCTCCTGACGGAACACTGAAAACTTGTTACTAGGTGAATTATTCAAGAGCAAGAACGGCTTTTATTTCTTCGTCTTCATTTACTGATGCTAAATAGTCAGAAGCATAAATAAGTGAAAAAGGTTCTACCGAAGCACATACCGAAGACAATCGGCAACGGTCGACCTTGATCATCAACAGTCCAACGACTAACTGTAGCCGGCCAAGAGGCGCATCGATTGGGATAATTTTGAAAACTAGGATAGAGAACGAGTTCAGAATTTAAACAAACCAGATAATCAAGACATAAATGCAACGCTTTTTTCAAAAGTAAAACATGTAATCTTGGTGATCAAACAAAACAGAGAGAGAGAGAGCACCAACAAGTATTTTCATCTCTAAACTGTTTGAAAAAGAGGGAAAATCATGGCGGTGAGAGGAAGCCTAAGGCAACTTGCTCACATAGACCGCGTCAGGCTTCATGGATAGCGACATCGGGATTATTGTAAGCAATGGTTGGAGATACCGAGTGACATGCCTGGGTGTCGTAAACAGTGATGCTCGTGTATCTATTCTACTCCGCTTGCAACCTTAGTCTTCATGAGTACTCCATTTTCATTCTGACACATAGATTTGAACATTTCAATTTTCCTTTTACTGCTTCATCCAAATGGGAATTACCAAGACATCAAGCAAAACCGGTGCATGAAAGTGAATGTTCAATGGTTGTAAATGGTACAGGAAATTTTGCAGTTAAAAGTGGATTATAAAATTTATCAACCAATTTTGAGTGGATTATTAAAATAATCAGTGCCTGACTTGCATACACACCATTCGTGTTATGATCTACTAAGGGCAACTCGTCCAGGAGAAATGCACATTCCCTGCCAACTGTAATAACTTGTCATTAGTGGAAATCAGTACGCTGAAGTCCGCGATTTTGAACGGGTCTTCATTCAGTAGTATACCACACTAATACGGTTTGGATGTTAGTGGCTTGTAAAACCAACGTTCTTCTGGAATTAAAAAAAAACTACCCGGATTCTGGTTTGCATTTTGATGTGTTCGGCCAATCGGTACACACCGCTAAAATCTCTGATTATAAAGGAACATCAATCGGGTTAACCCATTAAATAGTTTCAGAGACACATTTACTTGGTTGTGTGATTTTATGGGTCGAATAGCAGATAGCACATTTGGTGAACACGGATGAATCAAACATGATGTAAACATCAGAATGGGAAGCGAACCAATATGGCATAACAGCTTCCTATGAACACTGACTTGTAAAATTTCTCCATTGCGTAAAGCGCAGGACAACGGTAACATTGCTCACAACGATTCGCCGTTGTTTCGTCACCAAGTTTCCGATCCGATTGCAAAGGGATTGTGGCGGAGGAAGATTTGTGGTCAACCGAAAGCACTTCATCAGAAGCTGCATGGTGTTCGAGAGGAGTATAGAAATATATAAACAGATATGTAGGAGCGTTGGGGATCATATAATGAAGACAAATTTTTGTCACAACAAGCACACCAATTTGAGCTTGATTGCAACGGTCCCGTACGGGGGTTCGATCAAATGGGAACGAGCGACTGCCAGTTTCATAATACAGGTCTTCGCAAACATACTACGGTAAGAGACTACTCACATTTTACACGAGTAGTACTTTTGAGCGCACACTCAGGCAGTTGACGGTTTTTCACGTTCCGAAGCGGTGCAGTGCAATGGTGAAATATGCAAACTGGGTGTTGAACAGATTGCTCACCGATCCGTGGTCTTACGCTCACACACGACTGCTCCCTGTTTTCCAGATGACGCATTTTGTTCTATGTAACCCTGATTGTATCCTACTCACGTCATTCTATTCAAAAACAACTCCACGGTTAGGCACTGGACTCGTAGATTTACAACATCACGAACACCATCCAGACAGGCTGTTTCAAGCAAACTTGACATTGCAATTTAGCTTCTGCCCCTGTCGATTAACAGTCTCAATAGTTCTCTGACGAGAGTTTCTCCATCATCTTAACAGAAAGCAAGTGGTAGGCCGTCTGATCCAGCTGCCTTGTGGCGCGTTTCGGGGATTGGAGTTCCCTTCGGATCTCCCCTTCCGGTAATAGGGTCGTCACAATTGGATAAACTTCAATATCCGGTCCGTTCTTATAAAAACACGAGGATAAAATAGTGAAACATATTAAGCCCCATAATGTACGTTCAACTGTGAGAGCAATAGTTATAGTAGAACCCTTCTCTTCGTTCTGCATATGTAGATTGTGATGAATTAAATTGAGAGAAATATAGAAAAATGTCCTATACTTGTGCAGTTCTTGAGAATAAAGAACGCTGCAAGTCGGAAATATGCCCCTTGGTAAGGGTAATCAATCGCTTTATACAACGGAAACCGTGGGGCTGAAATTATATTATATTACTATATTTCGCACTCGTATGAGGACAGTGTGCCAAGCACATCATGATACAATAATTTTTATAAAAAAGAAAAACGCCCCATGATTGGCTTATGGGCTGAATACCTCCAGGTTGACAAGGCCAATGCAGATGGGTTTTCTCGAGGAATCTACTATACTAGCTCCGGATTAGCCAAAGCCTAACCCGAAAGGTAACGGGGTAGTGTGAAAACCACAATCCCTTGGGAGCCGGTGTCCACCTCATCAAATCACACGCCCTTCGTCCAAGGTGCCCAATACACATTAATGTCCAATCGAGCCGGTGACCACTGCCACAACCGAAATGGTATGCGTCTGGCTCGTAGGCCTCCTCTTGGTTGGTTTGGAATCTGGGTGTTTGGCCAACTCCCTTAGGTGAACTACCAGTGGTCCACCAACCCGGTTTTAGCCCCGGATGTTGCCTCTTCGTCCTCTCACTTTGGTGGGGAAAACACCGCCACGAGGAGGCACGGAGTAGGGCCCTCTTAGCAAAGGCTATTTCAGACACCTGGTCGTATGGGAGAATTTAGCGAGATGCAAGAGAACGGTGACCAGGTGCAACCCAAGACACCCACCCCCGACAATATCGAGGTTTTTGGAATGATTGACAATAGAATAATAATAATAATAATAATAATAATTCCATTAGCCGACCTAAAGTTGGTGACTACAAATTACACATATAGATAGGATTATTGGTCAGAGCAGTTGGTGTAGGACAATAGGAAAACTGAAATATCTCTTTTTTCTCATCCAGGTGTTTAGTCAGTTCGTGGAGGATGATGATGATGATGATGATGATGATTTTTCAGGGCAAGATTTAGGACCAATCAAAAGCTGTTTGGAATCC